GGGATGGGAACAGAACCAGGGATAGGATGGGAACAGAACCTGGGCTGGGATGGGGACAGAACCAGGGCCGGGATGGGGACAGAACCAGGGATAGGATGGGGACAGAACCAGGGATGGGATGGGGACAGAACCAGGGATAGGATGGGAACAGAACCTGGGCTGGGATGGGGACAGAACCTGGGCTGGGGGATGGGGACAGAACTGAGCGCTTTGGGGTCGGGTTTGCTTCATGCACGAGGTGCAGGGGCCTCCCCCAAAGAGCTGCCATTGCCATGGCAGGAGGGCTGAGGAGGGACTGGGGGTCTCCAGGCTGAGCCAGGTTTGTGCTGTCCCCCAGGAGCTCCAGCTGTGCCAGACAAATGCTGCTTCAACTTCCAGACCAGAAGGATCAAGAGGGACAACGTGGTGGCCTGTTACCCCACCAGCCCCGAGTGCCCGCACCAGGCTGTGATGTGAGTACCCCAACCCACCCCTGGATCCTGCCACACCCCTTGCCTTGCTTTGGTGGGTCCAGTCCCGACCCCCTGTCAGTTTTGGGGTCCCCACTGACCCCAGCTTCTCTGTGCCCCAGCTTCAGGGTGAGGAATGGGAAGGAGATCTGCACCCAGGCCAGCAGGCCGTGGGTCAAGAGGTACCAGCAGAGCTTCCAGGTCAGCTCCTTCTCCATCCCCAGCTAGCAGGGTGGCTGGGGACAGCGGGGACTCCTCCCCGTGGGGACACCACCAAGGCAGAGGGGACACTTCTGGCTGGAGCAGCTCACAAGGGACACCCTCCCCATCACGATGACCCTCACCACTGCCCTGAAGGCAAAGGATGGGATGCCAGCCCACCAGGATGGAGTGTCCAGACCCTCTGTGCTCCATGCAGAGGCTGCAGCGGGCGGGGGGTGAAGGGGGAGCAGCTCCACAGCTGTTTTTTGTCGATTCCGAACAGAATTAAACGTGATTCCCACATGCAAACATCTGTCTGTGTGAGTCTCTCGGGCCTGGGCAGATCCTGCTGCCGGCTTTCCTGCCCAGCTGTTGGGATCAGCAAGGAGCCAGGAGGAGCTGGAGCTTCAGCCAGGTCCCTGTGAGGATGTCCAGGGGTGAATGGGGCCAAACCAAACCCACGAGGGCTTCGGGGAAGAACCAGAGGGACAACATGCCCGGGAGGAGGGGGCTTCCTGTGCTCCTCATCCACCATCCTCATTAACAGCCCAAATTCCATCAGAGGGGGATCTCAGGGATGCCTGAGCCAGCCCAAAATCCCAGGATGCCACCAGGAAATGTGATGGGCGCTGGGACAGTGGCAGAGCCACCATGATGAGCAACCAGCAATGGGTGATGGAGAAACAAACCCGGCCACCACCAAGCCGCCACCCCGGAGCGAGCAGAGGCCTCAGAGCCATTGGCAAGGGGTGTTTTTTGCACAGGAACTCACAAGTGTGAGCATCATCCTGTGCTCTTTGCTGGTGGCCACAGCCCAGCCCAAAATAGACACCCGGCCCAGCATCACGGGCTGCTCCCACACCTCTCAGCAGCCCGCGGGTGTCACGGTGGCCAACGTGACTGCCAGAAGGAATTTCCCCTCACCACTCGCCCCTCGTGGAGACATCCAAGAGGTTCTTTCCACGGGGAGGGTCTGGAGCTGTCATGGAAAGCCTGGCAGGGGTTGTTATAAACCACACGGGGCTGCAGGCAGGAGGGCAGGCAGCTCCTGGTGGCCTGAGGAGAAGCAGAGTAGCTGGTGCTGGCAGAACCTCAGGTTGGACATGAAGATCTCCTTGGCCCTGCTCCTCCTGCTGCTGGCAGCTGCCTGGACTGGAAGCCAGGGGTTGTCCTGTAAGTACCAACAGGGAGATTTTCCCTTCTGAGCTGTCCCAGCTCCTCCTCTGATGGGATTTGGGGCTGGGGAAGAGGAGGAGAGTTCAGCTCCTGGTGGGGTTGTGGGGCATCACCAGCTGCCTGAGCATGGGGCTGTCCTGGATTTGTTCAAAAGGAGTAAAAACGGGGCTGGTCCAGCCCCAGGAGTTCCTACCTTGGGGCAGAGCATTACCTCCAGGGCTGCAAGATGTTCCCTTTGTGGGATGAGGGGGCAGGAGCAGAACCCACACCCCTCATGCCAGGGGTGGGGGAGCACTGAACCCTCCCTCCTGCTCCCAGTACGCAGCTCCAAAGCCCACTGCTGCTCCAAGGAAATGTTCTCCCGTCGGAAAATCCCCGAGCTCAAGATCCAGGGCTACATGGAAACGCCTTCCACCTGCACCTACAGAGCTGTGCTGTGAGTAACCCCAGCTCCCAACCAGCCTTCCTCCCCTCCACCCCATCCTCACCTCGCTCACCCTCCTTCCCCTCCAGCTGCTCTGCTTTTGGGGACTCCCCAAAAACGGGGCACCCTGCCCAGGCTGTCCTCGCCCGGCTCTTCACACCCACCTCCCTCCTGCTTAACCCAAACAGCCCCAAACGGCCCCATTTCTGTGCCAGCAGGCCAGAGTCAGCACTGGCAGGGAAAGGGGGGCAGGATGCTGCAGGAATCCCTGGGAACATCCTCCACTCCCAGGCTGATTCGGGATATTCTTTCCCCCCAAAGTGTGCAGCTGCAGAAGGGGATGGTCTGTGTGGACCCAGAGAAAAAATGGTTCCAGGAGTACCTGAGGAAGCAGAAGAAGCAAAACAGCACCTCCACGTGAAGCTGCCTTCCCCAAACCTCTATTTAATTGTGCCCCATCATTCTCTGCGTGTTTTGGTGTCGTTAATTGATTTACAGAGCTGGCTCTGTCCCCTGCCCTGCACTGCACATCCCTTGTGGACTCAATAAACCCTCTTGTGGTCACCTGTAGCTGGAGTGAAATGTCAGTCCTGGGCAGAAAACAACTCACATCCAGGCTCAGCCTGGCAGGAATAGTCCAGGAAACCCAAAGGGCCCAGCTCCCTCCAAGGTGGAGCAGCCCTGCCCAGCTGGGGGGTTTAAGGATGCCCATGGGATGGGGAGAAATGGGAGAATTTCCCTCTGGGGCGTTTGAGGGTGTTTAGGGGTTGGGTTGGCTCAGTCCCTGAGGTGACAGCCCCAGCTGGGTGTCACTGCCTGGCCACCACCCCTGGGCCATCAGGCAGTTTGTCACCCAAACAGGGCACCCGTCCAAGCCATGGACAGGCAGTTTCTCCAGAAAAACGCTGCATTATCCACTTCCCTGTTCCTTTGGGGCTCCCTTGAATCATCTTTTTGATGAGCTAGGACATGCCTCACTCTTAAAGATAACTTTATACACGTTGCCAGATTTGTTGCCATGTATCTGCCCCCATTTAGGGCATTTTTTGTACAAATCAATGACCAATTTTGTACAATCAATGACCAATTCATCTGCCACAATGCCCACAGGACTACATCACCTGGAATTAGTCTGGAATTAGAAGGAATATTCTTGCCTAAAATTGCATAACTGCAATCCTCAATCATTTTTGCAGAGAAGAGTTAACCAGACTTTTCTAGTTGCTCTTTGGTGCTGGAAATCCCAGGATCCAGCAGAATATTTAGGCTGTGTGAAGGATAGGGCAGGAATTGGTTCTCTAAACCACAGAAGCATTAAGGAAAAGACCTTTAAGGTCAAGTCCAACCATTAACCCAGCACCAAACCACATCCCCAAGTGACACATCTTTGGAACACCTCCAGGGGTGGGGATCCCACCCACATTCACACCGTGACTCAGAGGCTGCCCACGGCTCAGGGAGCCCACGCAGAGCTCCCAGATGATGAAGCACCTCACCCTTGGAGGTGAAAGATTGCCAAGGGTGGGGCTGAGGGCCACCAGCTCGGTGTCCCTGTGGCTCTGGAGGTGCTGGGTGGCAGGAGGGTGACAGGCACCATGCCTCAGGTTTAGCTTTTCTATTTTTCACGTTCTGAGCTGTTTTAGTGGGTGGGTCTGGGCTTCATATGAGGGATGCTGAGCTCTGTGCACAGAGCAGGGACACAAAACAATTCCTGCTCCAGCTGGGCACCAAGGACAAATGATCCAAACCTCAGCCCAGGAGCACAAACAGCGTGGGCTGGAGAGAGGAAAACAAGCAGG